TCTCTGTCTCTTTCTTTCTCTCTTTCTTGTTTTTCAAAACAGGGTTTCTCTGTGTAGCTCTGGCTATCCTGGAACTTACTGTATAGACCAGGCCTCAAACTTGGAGATCCACCTGCCTCTGTCTCCTGAGTGCTGAGACTAAAGGTGTGTGCCACTACTACTGCCTGGCTTGATCAATTGATTCTTAATGCTTTAGGCCACACATTTTTTGTTTGCTTTTCCATTGTAAAGTATCTCACTGTGTTGTCTAGGGTGTCCTTGAACTTATTTTGTAGCCCAGGCTGGCTTTGAACTTGGTATCTTTTTGTCTCAGCCCACCAAGTGGTGGGATTACAGGTGTGTACTCCCATACCTGCTTTAGTATAATTTGTTATATAGCATTAGATAACCTGGACAGGTACCATTGCTAGTCTGTTGTAAAGGGAAATTTCTTTGCTTTTCTTTCTTAGTTACCAGCTGTACACAAAGACCTTTTATCTTTTAAGGCAGTGTTACCAGGAAGCTTAGATTAGCAGTAGAGAGGTACCTGTGCTGGGTGTGTGATGGAATGGTTGGATGCCAGTGTGATGATAGTTCATTGTAGTGTGGAGGCTCGGGTGTGGGGTGGAGGCTTGAGTGGGTGGCTCTTGGATGGCAGCTCCTCCTGCAGTGCTTAGGCTACAGTGTGTAATTTTGTGATATACAGCCCTGTTGCTTTGGTTAGAGTAGCTTTCATTAGGAGGCCAGAGGGGAGGAGACCTCACCATTGGGACTTGGGAGGCGGGACCACTGGGAACCACAGAAAGATAAACTTGCTTCATTTCTTATGGTCAGCTTTTTCTAGAGGGTTTTGTCTGTAGAATGGTAGGTGGTTTTGCCTATCGAAGACACTACACCCCTTTCCTTTCCTCTCCCCTCTGGATCATTGGAATCAGGCCAGCTTAGATTAGACAAGGACTGTGTCCTAAGGGAAGAAACTGTAGATGAAAGGGAATGTTGCTTAGGAGCTGCCCAACCTACACTTTATTTCTTTCTGCCTCCTGGTCCTACCAGTGAGCATAGGTGGTGGGCTGGGAATTCTGGTTGTGGAGTCTTCTGAGTTGAGACTCCAGGATCCACATTCTAATGCTTCATATTATTTCTCTTACAAATTTTCAGTCCCTGAGTAAGCCCTAGTGGAGCATGACTCTAACCCAGCACACCTCTACTGCATGTGATCCATCTCTCTCTTCGGACTCTGTAATTGCTTGGCACTTCCATCCTTGCATTTGCTGCTGCTTCCTAGGACATACATGCTTCTGGGTGTGGACTTCCCAGCCTTCCACTTGGATTATAAGCTCAGATAGTTACATAGTGCTGTTCACTTGTCCTGCAGAAGATCTTGCCAGCATTCTTCCAGGTGGAACCTGATTTATGTCTCAGCTGGCTTAGTCAGTGTCATCTTTTACCTCTCTTTCAAAGGGCATGTTCATCTGTCTGTCTGCCTACCTGTCTGTCTATCATCAAGCTGAAGATACTATAGTAGGGATTTAAATTACCTGTGCTACCAACTTGCTTCCCAGACTTAGGCTCGAAGGTTTTCTTTCCCTTTTTTTTTTCTTCCAGAAAGGGTTTCTCTGTGTAGCTCTGGCAGTCCTGGGACTCGATTTTTATAGACCAGGCTGGCCTCAAACTCAGAGATTTGCTTGCCTCTGCCTCCTGAATGCTGGGATTAAAGGTACACACCACAGCTGGTCTTGCATGGTTTTCATGACCCATACTGAGTTAGAGCTTGATGCTGTTTTCCAGGATCTGCATCTGAAAAGAAAAACTATCTCCAGAATCAATGAGCCCTAGTGCTGTGATTCCGGGGCACTTAAGGTGCATTATTAGCTGAGCATTAGCTGTTGCTTTAGAGGTCTTGGAGAGAGGCGGTATTGCTGTCTGGCTTATCTTTCAGAGGGGAATACGAATAATCTTGGAAATGATAGACCTGTTGGTTTACTGTGATTCCAGAGAAGATACTTGACCTGATCGTCAGATAATCAATCAGCAAACAGCTGGAAGAATGTGGGATTCTCAGTAATAACTTACATGGGTTTGTGAAGAAGAGCAAATCCTGTCAGATCAATCTAACTTCTTGCTGTGACATAGTGATGGATTTGAGTGGATCTAGGGAAAGTGATAAATGTAATGCAACTCAACCTCATTAGGCTTCTGCAAGGCTGCCATCAACAGGTGAGAAGGCACATTTAAGGCCACACATCCGTGTCCTCTGGACCAGTCCTTAGCTGACCCTCAAGAAAAAGGTGGGGAGCACAAGACCTGCTATTAATTACAACTTAAAGCTCCTTTTGGGAGGGAGGAGAGTCTTAAAGGTTTTTAGGTACCAATATCCTAATGGAATTCAGAGGAAACTTAGAAGATGACTGAAAGACAATTTCAATCCCAGATAGGATAGTACTTGTAGTGAGATTCTGTGGGTCAGGTTCTCATCAGAGGCCCTGCGGTCTCCGTATTCCAGTCAGTAAGGGAAGGGAGGAAACCGAAACAAAATGACCACAGGCAAAAAGCAAGCCTAGTAAGAAAGAAAATGAATGGAAGATAGTTCGGGCCACTGAATTCTTGTTCTTATTAAATGCAATAATATCTTACTTTACATTTTAAAAAGGACCCCCCCTCAAAAAAAAAAAAAAAAAGCCAAGTAAACCCACACAGATTGAAGTGGAAGGAAGAAAGCTTGAGATTTTAGTAGGAAGGACCTTCCAGAAGAAAGAGGGAAAGCATTCGAATACAATGTGCCTTCTTTCAGAGTGGTAGATATCTGTTCTGTGACAAGCTTTTTATGGGGAAACCCTGTGCGTTGCCTGGGCCCCACCTGAGCTACAAGGAGGGAGAACTGCCCCAGCTCCTCTCCAGTCTCCTGATTGGCTCTTTTGCTTGCAGTCTCTGCCCAACTGACTTCTAGATCTTTTAGACTTTAAATTTAGAGCATGCCATACCTTCCAGGTGTGTGAGACAGAGACAAGTTTTGGCCGAGGAAAGCCTTGTTGTTTGGAGGCTTGCTATGGAGCTCATTTCTCTCACTGGTCTCATTTCAAAAGTCTTGGAGTCAGCTTCCTGAGACTATCCTAAAGGAATGTCTCCGTGAGAAACTAACAGGTATAGGCTCTGTTGTACTTGGGTGCGTAACAATATTGGTTATAAATACAGTAAAACATCAGCTATTTTTCATCTGTTGTCATCCTTTTGCTGTTTATTTTTGCACTTTGTTCAGCTATGTGAAACTGGAGTGGTTGGCTTGCTAGCAGAAGGCTTGCATGTTCTGATTTTTGTGCTCATTTTATTTGTTTTACTTGTTTCTATTCAGATTAACATGATAGGTATTCATTTAACTTGAGATTTTTTTTCATTGAGAAACATTTTTTTTCACTTAAATGTTAATTTAAATGATTTAAAGTATTTTAGAAGCTCTAAATTTCAGCAGTGTGGTTCCTTTCTGTCTTAGGGATTGTTTTCTGATACAGAAGTAGATTTTTATCTGTTTAAGGGCATGGTAGCTCCTTTGTCCTCACTAGCAGGAGTTTGCTTTGCTCATTTTGGTGTGGCTGTGCATGATGTGATAGTTGTTGTGACCCTGGGGCCCAGAGAGCAGCCTGAAAGCTTTGGTGGCTCTTTAATTGTACATCTTTAACCTCAGGGCAAGTTCTCTCACCACCTCAGTGTTCAGAGGAGACCAAAGCAAATGTAAGTGAGGAAAATGAGGTGTAGGCCACAGCTTGTAGGGAGGATGAAGTAACCTCAGCTGTCTGCATGGCTTGGGAGGGAGGGGTGGTCCAGCTCTCTGTGTGTGGGGAGTTGAAGTCCTGGCTGCCGCCTCCATCCTTCCCTTGGTCTTCTGGGTAGTCTTTCTCACTGCTCCAAACAGTCCTGCCTACTGTTTCCTTCTTATCTGTATTCAGGTGCCCATAATGTTAGGGGTTGAGGTTTTCTACGCTTTGGTCTTTGCCCGTTGCTGCTCCCCCCGCTGCCCCCCTTTCAGAAACCTTGGAGAGATTCCATCGGCATTGTGAGTTAGAATTATAACTAAAGGAGTTCTCTTCTATAGAAAATTGTGCAGATGCTGGGTTAATTTTGGAGGGCAGGGTGGGGGACAGGGTTGATAGTGACAGAAGACTAGACTAGGACTAATTAATACAGGAACAGCATTTGGAGGACTTCAGTGTGACCTAGAACTGGCACCATTACTGGG